CCCCAAAACCCCAAAACCCCAAAACCCCAAAACCCCAAAACCCCATATTTCTAGAATTTGATCAAATTGATTAAAATTAATTAAAATTTATTTATTTAATAATTAGAACAATAATCTTCTTGAATACTCATAGAATACAGATCAATGCTCGAATTATGCTTGCTCGTTAAGTACTGCAACTTTTGAAAGGTTATCCCAGTTAGTAGCAACTAATATTTCTTCCTAATCCTAACTTATCTCATAAATTTCTAATAGGATCATCCTCTCTTGCTTTTATTTCTCCAATAGCAAACTATACGTTTCAAGGCTCATATATAGATAGCTATTAAATTTCTTAGTTCCCTATTCATATCTAAAACTTCCCATATAATCATTCCCACTCAACATTTTTTGTATCCATTATATCATTTGCCTAGCTTCAGAATCCTCGCATAAATTAAGTTTTGATCTACAATGTATAAACAAAGGTCTTTTTTCTGGGAAAGTCTAAAAATAATCAAAGTTCAAATCTCTATAGTCTCTCATAATGTAAAATGACTTCTTAAAATCTGCTTTGACCAATTTTTTATTTTCATTTCTTTGCTTCAAATACTCTTTAAAGCTTATAATCTCAAAAGCCTTTTATGAAGTTGAAGACTGAGATTTTGATTATGATTTATCTATTGGCCTATGTGAAAAGTCTAGAGTCTAGCTTTTAAGCACCTTAGCCTTAAAGTCCTAATCTTTTTAAGAACTATTGCTAGAGGTTACCTGCTTCTCATTTGTCTCTTATAAAAGAATTTACTACCCTTGTCGCTTTTATCTTCTAGAGCTTAATTGCCCAGAAGAAGATGAACCTATTGATGAGACTCCATCATTCCCTTTAAAGTCTAGGTTTTTTGCTTCCTCTTTGAGAGCTCCGCTAACTTTTTCTGATTAATCAGTATCTGAAATTAAATCAGCAGATGAGTTAGGATGTTGCTCTCTAAATTGTTCTCGTGTATTTACTTCTGTTTATAACCTTCTCTATCCTTAAGCATCATTATCATGACTAATCTCAGAAATTTAATGCATATTCTTCACTGGTTCTTTTTGAGTGATTCGACGTCTAATTTCTTACAATTTCTCATCATTAAGCAATCTTTCCTGGGTTTATTTCAATTCCAAATTAGATATATTGAAGAAATCCAAACTTTGATTAAGCCTAAATTCTTGATCTCTAAAAATTTAATTTCTAAGTTAGCCTTCATTTACTAGTTAATTGTTTTCATTGATATTTGAAGAATCTCTGTTGCTAGAAATCACTGGAAGAGTAAACTAGGATTAATTCAAGCCCAATGAAAGCAAAGAATTAGGTTGATCAGTAAAGGGTTAGTCAAATCAAAGATTCTTAATATTAGAAGACTGTTTGATAATCATATTTAGCTTCTACTCAAGTATTTCACTTTTGCTCTTAAGTTCTTAGATCAAACTGACATCATACTTCTACTGATATTTTTTTAGAGAATCTATTTCTAAAAATGCGATGGTGAGGCTCTCCTACAAAAGTAAGATCTCTTGCTCTAGTCTTTCATTGTAATTTTTAGTCTACTCTTCATTCGACGAGCTAGCTTCAACCAAAAGAATATTTGTAGTGGGTTTTTTCTATCATTAATATTTTAATCTAATGTTAAATCTTACGTGAGGTTCCATTAATAAATTATTATATTTTTGGATAAATATTAATTGTGACAGAATTGAATTTTATCAATTAATACTATAACTTACCTTTCTACTTTGCCCAATGGGGTTTTGGGGTTTTGGGG